TCACAATGTCATACCCTGGCAGAGCCATGCCCTCTTCTTCTACCTATCTCATTTTCTCTTATTTCCTCTTTTTGTTTTTACGTTTGTTCACGTCTCTTTTCTTTAGAAAATGGGCCATGTATCATAGCACACATCACACACGTTGTGGCATGTGGCATAGAGAAGGCTAGTTTGAGTTTTTTCGACTCTATGCACTATGACACAAGCTGAACTCGCTATAGCATATGGCTAGAGGCTTCTCTCCTTGTTTTTCTCGACTTTTGATGCCTAAGTGACCAATTTCACTTCAGGACCAAATTAATGACTGAAAACACAACCAAAAACATTTATTAGTTCTCTTTGACTACACACCATATAAATCCTACTTAATTACCTATAATTAAGTTGATTATTAGTGGATAATTTTTAAGAATGTTACATAAGGGGTGTAATTGATAAGATTTTATGATCAAAACGCCTATTAAATAAGGGTAAACATAAAAAGAGTGTAATTCTAAAGATAATTAACTAACTCATTGAGAATGTAATTTGGTTAAAAGTGTTTTATAATATTGAACTGAAGAAGTGAGTCACTTCCAACTATCTTACTAGAATCAATGAGAAGTGATTAAATTATTGATAGTGTTAGGAAAAGAAAGATTTTTTTTATCCTTATTAAATGTATGATCTTTAAAAATGTTTTTTTATCTCATGTAGTAACTTTTTTTTCTAAAAGTGAAAAAAAGTAAAATAAAAAATAATAATAAATGATCCACTTTTTTTATTATACAAAATTTTTTATATACTATTACCCATTATTCATGGGTTGAGTCAAGTAGGATTATATTAGCGGCAAAGCTCTTCCAATGAGCATTTAACATGGCTGCATACCTAAGACTTAAATTCAAGAAGTTAAGACCACTGATTAAATTAGCCATACTCTTACTAGTTGAGTTACTTTCTTGTTAGTTTTATTATGCAACGTTACTTATAAAAAGAACTATCAATTTTTTTCATCAAAAGAGATGACTTATATATTAAAATTGGGGGTGGCATATTTTTAATTAAATATTTTTATTTTTAAAATAAAATACTTTATTTTTTTTAAAAAAATTATATCCCTAACCTTGTCCTTTTTCATAGAAAAGGTAGATATATGCACCAACGCATGCACATACTTATGTCAATGCTAGGTTTAAATTCATAACTTTTTCCAAGTAAAAAAAAAAATGATATATTGTTACTAGGACAACTAACTATTAACCCCTTGTATTCTTTTGAGTATATGGAGATGGGTATATATTCAAGTATTCACATAGAAGAACAAAACAGCTTGTATAATTTTTCTCACTGTAAGTTGTCAAGGTCAAAATAATCAATGAAATTAGAACAAGGAAAAAGGGCAGCATTTCTCTCTCTTTATACACTTGATATTTGCGGTTTTGCACTGAATGCTATTGGGCTATTGGGCACTAGTTTGGCTACTAGTCTTCTCTCTCTTTATACAATTAATATTGACACTAAATCCTTTTGGGCAATTGGGTGCTAGTTGGCTGTCAGTCAACCCTACCAATAATTCAGATTTTTTTTTTTTGTCGAACAATAATTCGAATTCTTAGGTATGAAGCTATGCACTTTTCCGTTACAAATAATTTAATTACTTGATAATTGCCTTAATCACGTTTAAAATTTAATTACTACTGTAAATCATATTTAATACTCCCATTTTAATGTCAAAATATTTCTTAGTTGTTTTACATTTGATCCTGTAGTATTAAAAAAAGAAGACTTTAATTTGTGAATTTTCCATTTAAATATTTGTCATGTTCCTATTTTTTTACTCAATTTATTTTTTTCAAATTGTCAAAAAAATAAAATAATTATTACTCAAAATAGTCTTGTTATTCATGAAAAAATTAAAAAAAATTCTTATATTTAAACAGTATAAACATTTCTATTTTAATTTATTATTTTAAGATGTAACATATTAATACATAAAAAAATATGTTTTTAATTATAAACTCAGATCATGTTTATATATTTAAAAAATAAATTGTTTAAAAAGAATGTAAAGTGCATTATAAAAATAAGTTCTCAGATAAGCAAAACATCCATTCACAAACAGCAGAGTCCATATCTAATGCCCTGAGCAGGTGGGAAGCATTTATTGCGTTGAAGAAGTTTAATTTTTGGTTGGCTGGCTATGAAATGAAATCAAAGGAAGAATTTGGACAATTGGGGCTTTAAAGATATTCCCTCTTATTTTATTTATAAATTATTTTAATATATTTTATTAAAATTAAAAAAATTTTAAATCTCACTAATTTTACTTTAAAATTTAATAAATTTTTACTTTTACTCCTAATAAATATTTTTAAATTTTATTATTAATATATTTATTCACAGTATTTAATAAAAATAAAAATATAAAGAGAAATATTAAAATTGATAAATATTTTATAAATAGAATTAATTTTTTTTCTTTCTGTCCTATAAATAGTTCAAAAAGAGTAAGAAGGAATCTGGAAGTCTTCCATGATTGAACAAGTAAATGAAGCCTCTTGGAATTATTCATCAACATTACAGAAAATAGTGTGTTTTGATTGTTTCCATATTTTCCTTAGTCAGTTGATTGTTGAGACATGCAGGCTTAGTTTGGAGGTCATTTCATTCAATTTTCTCCCTCACAGTTCGAACCTTGAACACCTATGATCCTTTTGGGACTTTTAGGATTTGAATTCTTTGAAATTGAAGTCTTCAAGCATTGTTGAAATGCTTATATAGACCAGCAAGGAGGTTGAAAAAACAGATAAATAAGGAGATTAATTATTTTCGGCATCATTTGAGCTTGATAGAATTTTAGAAGTGTTTGTTATTGAGGGATAAACCTTTGACCTCTCAAAAGTTTGAGATAATCTAAAAAAATTTAATTTGTGCATTGTTTTGTTAATTAGTTATAGATATTTATAACTTATTTTTTTTAAAAAAAAAAGAAGAGTATACTTTGAACATGTACTAAAATGTAATTGTGGCATGAATTGATGGTTCAAATAATATTAGTAAAATGATCTTGTATGTCAAATTTTGATGGATGCCTTGTTTGGGCATGACCATGAGAAAAGAGTTATAATGATGTGATGTGAATGAAATTAATAACAGTGTATGTGATTGCAAAAAGTGCATGACGCTAAGTGTAGAATTTAACGTGAAAAAAGTTTGAGGCTTGAGAAATGTTTGAATTCAATACTTGAAAATTTGATGAGTAAATGCATATGCTATAAGTATGTGTGGCATTACTTGATTATATGAGATGAGAGTTTAATGATGATGCTGCCATTTAGAGTTTGATGGCTTGCATTTTTATATATTGTCTTACTTATTCTATAAGGAGTTGTCCTATGGTTTAAAAAGGAACTTAAACTTAACTAATTTTTACTTGTTCAATGATGATGCTAGCTGAGGAGCAAGACACCCTATAGCATGCAATTTGGAGAAAATCATGAACCATAAATGAGTGTAATAGTCTTAGACAAGTAGTTCCTCATAAATGGAAGACTTGAATAATCGAATCACATGAACGAACCCCTCAAAGTAAATAGCCCACGATTTCATATCGGAGGTATCAGGAGACTATAAAGATGGAGTTGATTATACATATCATTTTTAAGGGCACATAGTTATTAGTATTGTGCCTCTTGCATCATGTGATGTTTAATCCACATGATTGTTACTAATGTGAAATATAATTTGTCATTATACTCGACCACATGATTGTTAGTATCGTGGCTACGAATAATATTTGAAATAATACAAACTTCTAAAATTATTGTTATGTCACTTACATCCTTATAATTAATTGACTTGCATGTGTACAAGTTAAATTAATTTTGATTATTAAGTAATTATATTTATTCCTCTCTTTTTAATATTTACATGAGCTAACTTAAGTCAGGATAAAGAGAAAGTGTCGAAGGTTTGGGAATATTAATTCCTAACTTTAGGCCTCCGTTATCTTGATTTATTATATGTATTTAAATTTGAGATTGCCAACGTGGGGGTGTATATTTTGTCTTACCTGCACTATTGTTCTTTTTGTGATTAGGTGTTGTATTTTGGATCATAGATTGTAGGTATGATAATTGAGGATATTCAGATAGAGTCAAAATACAAGTGCTTACATGTTACCCTTCAAATACAATCAAACATTAAATATGAATATTTTTTATAATAAAAATTTAAATTTTAATTTATCATATTGTAATAGACTAATAATTTCTACTAAACCCAACTTTCATTGATAGAACCATGATATTTATTTCATGAAAAATTCTTACCCGTTGTTTCTCAGATATTAAAGTCTTCTAATGACAAGCATTGAATTTAGTAGAAGAAACGAATTTTTAACAACTTGATGAATCAAAATTTGATTCATTAATCTTATTAGATGTACCCATATTTAATATCCAACCTATCCCAAACAAAGTTACATTTAATATGAGAATACACGTGCGTAATAAAAAATGCTAAAACCCTCTAAAAACATTAAAGCCTAAGATTCGTGTTTGTTAAATGAAAGGCAATAATATAGTGGAGTGGTATTGGGTTTTCATTCCATAAAGCAAAGCAATTTGGGAGATGCGTTATTCCTTCATCCTTCCCATCCACACAGATTTTAAAAGCTAAGCAACTGGTGCATATAAAAAAAGTTAAAATTAAGTTTCTGTGTACAAGAGTGGGTATAGAGTCTCTAAGGTATCTCCCTCTAACGTTATTTATAAATCTCACCTATTTAATTTAGTATTTTCTTTTTTATCATTAAAAACAGTGTATTTTTTAAAATTTCAAAGAAAAATGTTATAAGATTGTATAATTTTGATATCTTTAAGAAATCTAAAAATGCAAAAAAAAAAGCACCATTTTCTTACTGCAATATACCAAAATATGTGACATTTTATATAGAAATTAATAATCAAAAGAAAAAATAAAAATGAAATTGAAAAGGCGAGAAATTACAAATCATATCATATAGAAGGAGATATATTAAAAACTCCAAGTCCCTCATAAGTTAATGTACTTAAAAAAGAAGAGAAAGGTAGAGAGAAGTAGATGATAAAATTACATAGAAGATAATAGTGAAAGAGAGAGAAGAGAGGGTAAGAGGCTGTGGGTGTGTTTGTGTGGTTGGTGCTAATAAAGCTGCTCTTTGCGGGCATGCCACCATCTCCACCTGCATCCAACCCAACCAATATAAGCTTTCGTTAGCAGCTTTTATACCCTTACTATCAAAATAAAAAATTTAATAAATCAATTCATCATCAATTTAAGTAATATCTATCTAATTTAATCTTAAAATTTTTTATAATATTTTAACAGTATATATATAATTTAAGTGATTCAATTTAATATTATAATTTTTATAAATAATTATCTAAATATACTTTGCATTAATTTTTTTAAAATTTTCAGAAAATTTTATTTTAATAATATAATAATAAAAATATTTTAAAATTAAATTAAAAATAAACGTTGAAGCGCATAAAAAGAGGATGAGGAGAGAGAGAAGAGAGACGGACCAGTAATAGTCCCAACGGGGTTTGACTTTGGACATGCGATTCTCGCCGTAAGGGTAATCGGTGAGAGCACGTCGGGTGTTGTGGAAGGCGCAGCAGCCGATAGAGTAGATGCCGATGAGCAACACTAACATGACCACGCTCAGCACAGACACTTTGTGCCAGTCCCTCCTTATGCTCTCCAGCACCCTGCCTTGCACGAGTCGCACTCGTAACACAGCAAACTCGGCGAGTTGTTCCACCTGTAACAGTCTGCATCTTCGCTTTCCATCATTGCTTCCCCTTCGTTGTAGTTACATGCCGTTGGTGGCTTACAGCACCCTGACTGCACTCCCACAATCACCAAGGCAAGATTTTTTATTTTTAAAATTAATAATTCTTAAAATATTTAAAAATTCAATATTATAAAGTAGATTGATCATTATTTTTTTTAAAAAAAATTATATTAAACATGTTAATATAATGTTTTATTTAAGATCAGCCAACGCAGTCAGTACTCACTAGTCATTGGTGAAGTCAGGAGCCGTGGGTCGGTGGCTAAATATTTGAAGCCAAGGGGGCAGGGGTGTCAGGCATTAAAATTCAAAGATACATGCAATTTAAAATATCAAGGGTTTAATTGTAAAATACTCAAATTTATGCCGCAGATATTAGTATTTCCTAAAATAAAGGCTGCGTCCTTGATTTAACTCTCAATTGTCAAATTCGAATCATTTAATTTTTTGGTCTACTTGATGACAATCCCAGAGATTAGTAATTCTGAGAAAGTGTAGAGGCTAATAAAGGGGCTGAGTTTTGCTAAATTAAAATTTAAAAAAATTAATCATTTAATTCTTATAATTTTAATTTAGTTATAATTTAATTCCTGAACCTTGACTTGTTATAACGCGCTTTTTGAAGTTTTGAGTCACTTATAAATCAGTCCTTAAATTTTTTTTCTCTTGCAATTTAATCTCTGAAGTTTCAACCTCTTAAATAGTGGTTTTTATATTTTAAAAAAATAAAATTATAAAGATTAATTGTTTTTAAACTTTTAATATTTATAATATTTATAAATATTAAAAGGATTTAATAACTTAAAATATTAGTAATAAATTTTAAAATATTTTTAATCTTTATAATTTTGATTTTTTAAAATATAGGAACTAATATTTAAGAGATTGAAATTTCAGGGACTAAATTACAAAAAATAAAGTTCTTACCATCAAATCAAAACTTCAGAGACTGAGTTATAACGAGTAAAAGTTCAGGGACTAAGTTACAATTAAGTCAAAACTATAAGGACCAAATCATTAATTTTTTTTAAAATTTATAAATTATTTTTTATTACATATATGTATCTTTTTATTAAAGATAATTATATTATATACTAGTAATTAAATAACAAAAACTTGATAGATATATTTAGTTGCACTACAAACAAATTTCAGGAACAAGATTGCCAAAACTGTGAAGTAAAAGACTAATCTTTAAAAAAAAAATGAGCATCAACCTTTTTTTTATGTTTTTGTCCTGTAAAAATTTCCCAATAGAGTTAGAGATTCAGATTCTTTCAGCACACACTTGTCCATATTCTGTGTTTCTTCCTTTTCACACCCTACAAAATATCTACATCTACAGTACACAATTCTAAAAGTTTATTAGGCTATGTGGTCCATTTAAACCATATCCAAGTTTTGGAGAAGATGCAAACTTATCTGTTTTAAATAGATAAATATGCATGTTAGTCGCTTCATTCTTAAGCGGTCAAACTCATATACTATGTGTGTGTGTGTGTATTATGGATATATATAAGCCATGAGAAACACACTCTACCACTGATCTTGATAAAGTTATAAACAATCCAAGTCACTTTAGATCAGCAATTCATAGGCTAATATCCGCTATTTCATTATAAAAGATGCTTTTCTGCCTTTAGCCTTCTTTGGTGTATATGGTCTTCAGGGATTGAACCAAGGTTGAGTTACATATGCATATGCATTCATATCATATCTCTGCTTTTTTTAAAAGACATCAAAAAGAGTGTCATCATGACTCAGCATGCACGAAGATGCGTCAAAGTCATGTTCTTGATTAAATAAAAAGAAAACGTTATTTCTTCATTTGTGATCAGGTAGCATAATCTAATATAGAGACTAGTTATGAATTAATTATAGTCATAGGTGATTTAATAAAAAAAATATAAATCTATATATGCATATATATTCTCCACCAGTCCTATACAAAAATTTGAAACTTATTAGTCCTAAATATAAGGTAAAATTATTGTGGTTAAATTTTTTTTTCCAATAATCTTGCCCCTTTTAATTGAAATACTTTGTCGACATACTTTTAATTTCTATACAACAATGTATTATAATCATTAATTTTAATAAAGAGTAAAACTGAAAAGTCACATTTTCTTAAGATATCAACCATACTTTAAAAAAACATCATGAAATTAGTTAACTTTACTTTATAATTAAGAGTGGATGAAGAATACTATTTATAAATCCTCAGCCATATACAATTCTTCCCATCTCATGTTCCATATAAAACACAACACAGACTCCCACTCTATAAACACTAATTTCACTCCAAATATTACTTTTATTACTAGAAAATAAAATTGGAAAAGCAGACTATATATTATATATTATTTAGCTCAACATAATTAATTTTTGTTACTCTGTACTCTGAATCTGATTAAAGTAACAAGCAAGTCTATAAAACTGCACAACATGCACCGACGAGATTTGAATTGATTAACCACTTGTTACAAACTTGACTAGCACTCAAACACAGTATGATTCACGAAATAATAAAACCATGGATGTGATTGAAGAGGAGGAGGAGGAGGAATGAGATCATAACGTGTGTGTATGTGTGTGTGTTTACATGAACGTACCTGAATCGGAGACATATCTCTCTGCATATAATCAAGAGGAGTCCAAGAAGCAAGCTTAGCACAAGTCCTGGAACCCAGAATACATGTTCTGATCGTGTTCCAATACCTGGGGTCCTTAATTCTGTTCCTCAGCCACGGCGAGTAACCCTCCAGCCGGAACTCCTTATAGGCCCTGCCGGGAACCTCCACACCGCCGCCCTGGCTCGTCACGGCGAACCCGAACAGCGTCAGGCCAATCAGAGTCACTATCAGAAGCAGCATCACCACCAGGTACAGCCACAGAGCGCACGCCACGTGGAAGCATGCTCCGATGAAGCCCGCCAGAGATATCACCAGAACCACGAAACCTATGACCAGAAGTGGTGTCTGTAAGAAGTTCTCGCACGTTGTACTGCTCCTCGCCATCCACAGTCCTGCTCCTATTATGGGGATCGATGCTAGCAGAGTGAACAGGTTTAGGAACCCTATCACCGTGTTGCTGAATCGATACATCGTCTTCTTCTTTCTCTAAACGACGACGACGACGACGACGCTTCTGGGCTTTGATCGTATATATGCGGTCTGTCTGGGTTCGAGAATTTCGAGTTTTCTCTTTTCTTGTCTACTGTCTGTCTTTTGATATTGATGATCGGCATGCTTTCTTTGTCTGCATAATTATAGGGTGGTGATCTGAAACTTTAGATAAAGCAAGCATGTGAAAACGACTCAGAATTTTTGTACCGGATGATATTATAATAAACAAGTGTGTGGGTGTGTTCAGAGTGACCAAATTGCCCTTTTAGATGCCATTTATAATATTATAATCACCGGGAGTTTAATTAATCCCAGATTATACAATGATCAGGGAATTGTTTATTCTTGGAGGCCCTCCTTAATTATAGCTACCTTAGATGCACAAGAGAAGAAGACATGGATGTCCTTTTTATGTATTTTTGAAAATTAAAACTAACTCAAAAATCCTCTACATTTGAATAGAAATTCATTTTTTTTAAAATGCATAAATTACAAAAAACAAGTAATAATCACATCAATGTGCAGTACAATAATTGTATATTTATCATGTTACAAACACATATAAACAATATGAGATAAAAAGGACCTAACATGCATTGAGATATCAGTATAAGTAAATTAATTAAAATTATTCTTGCTTTCAATAATTCAAAGACAATTAAAAGTATTCTTGATGGAAGAAATTCAGATCCTGAGATTTTGATGCTCAAAACTGATTTGAATCATCTACTAAATCTCTTCAAAAGTCATTGGTTAGAAAAATGCACAAGCAATTGGAAGCAATTGTGGAAAAGTTTAAATAATTGCAACTCTTTATCTGTTGTTTTTCATTTTCCTGTATGACTTTTATTTGCAGTTGTTACTATTAATTTAAAAAAAAGTAAATTAATTACCTTTCTTTTCACCCAAAAAAAAAATTAATGACCTTTATCGTAATTGCAGAAGATGATTCTCTAGAGTGATGGACCCCTTGGAACTTAGTCAAGAAGCAAAGATTTATATTTATATTATGGACCAGGATTGGGTATACACTATGCGCGTGTATATTGAATATATAAGATGCCCTAGCGAGCTACTTTCTTATCTTCTGATATCTTCTTATTCGTCCAGTGTTCTCTCTGGATCCACTAAACCATAATTCCTATTTTAGAGTGCTTGTCAATATTCTACAGTAACCTCCTTAATCGTCCATCACAAATATTAATGCTTTAATACCCATACACTTGTCTCATTTTCACAATTGTCTTCCTATCGGATTTAAAGGCAATCAATTTCCAAATATACATTAAATATAGACAACTCTTTAGGTAGAAATTTAAATTTTAATTCGATATATTATGAAGAATTAATCATTTTCATTAAACCTAACTCCAAGTAGTTGTAAGTACTAAATTTTTTTTCCATGGCATTTTTTCTACACTATACTATATTGTTGCATCAACAAGTTCAATATATTCAGCTTTTGAGATTGTGCAAAATATTCCATTCTGACTAGAATAATGCACAAATTGCTAGCATCCTGTCAATGCTACATCAGTTATGCTTTTTCAAGTTTCTACAAAGACCCACGAACAATAGAAATTATAATATTAAAAGAAAAACAAATTAATACGTCCATCATAAATATATTATATCAGCAATTTAATCTTTTCAGGTTTTGAAATGGCAAGCAAATGCAGCTTCTCGTTATTTGAGAACAAACTTTCTTTCAGGATCATCATTCTACATTTCTTTCTCAGAAATCTCACCCATGCACGAAAAGTCTTCTGGAAGCTTAAAGATTTTACAAGTGCACATTCACAACCCAATAATGTGCCATGTGAATTTAGAAGATGAGGGAATGGTTTTGAATAAGAGCAGTGATCATGCAAGCTAAGATATAGCAGCAGAAAGCCAGTAATCTTTCGTGGCACAATTAACGACAGGAAATTTAGAACCTGCAAACTATTCATCCTTCTCAAAAAGTCTAGACCTTTTGCATTCACGAATTGAATGTAAATAGCAGAATCAAAAAGAGATTTAAAACAATAAAATAAATGAGAATTAAGATAAGAAATAAATCTCAGGAACAGTTTCAACCTTTTTATTACTCTCTTTTTTAATGTGTATCTGCAAAACTTAAAAAGGAAAAAAAAAATTTCAAGTTCCCATTCCTCAACTGCAATGAAGAGGACAGAGAGTCACAGAGAGAATAATCTTATGATTACAAAGAATAAATACAGCCACATGCCACCTTTTACCAAAGGAAAAGTGCCTTGGATAAAACTCCTTGACCTTCCAGTCAACTCATGAGGAATGCGTTCTTTATAGCGTTGCTTCCCACTCCATGTATATGAATGATTTTGAGCTTTTGACTGAACTAACAATTTGGTCCATAAATTATTAAGAGCCTCCACAAATCAATGAATACAGAGAAGTCAATAACTGAAAATAATAAACCCATCGGATAATTAGTCCTTTTGTCAAGCAGATCAAGAATCCCAAAAGGAGTGGCACACGACAAGCCTATTATTTTCAAGCATTAATAACTTATATACTCACTAATTTTCAAAAACTAAAACAAGTTTCATAAAGCTGTGACCAAATTGTTATTTCAATCTTATTTTCCTAATGAATATGAAAGAAATTTATTGATGTATACTGTGAAGGTTTGTAATCTATCAGCTTGAAATGAACACAGTTCAGTTTAACTTGGCATGGGCTTGTTCTCCAAGAATGACCTGAAAAGAATGAATGCTTGGCGAGGTCGATGAAGTGGAACTTCATGTCCAGCTCCTGTTACTGTAACCAACGTAAGCCCTTCATAAACTTGGCTCCATCCACCAACCTTCACCAAAAACTAGAAAATTTCAGCAGATAGTAGTACAAGGCCTTTTTAGATTCCAGGTTTCCAGCTTTTAGAAACTAACAAAATTTTCTGAAAGTTCTCAAGGTTCAATTTATTTATACATGTTAATACTTGAAGTAATTATTTATCCATAGGGGAGTTTAAGTTTGAAGATAAAACTTTCGAATCATATCATATAATAAAACTTTATCCCAATTGCATCATAAATAGATTTTTTAATTACTTTTTTTCCAAAACTGCAAGCAAACAAGGATAGAGTTGCAAATTAGAATTTTTTACAAATATGCAAGAATTCATTCTCGAAGACAGTGAATAAAAGAGTGTGGCTATACATGGGATTTACTTTTTTTCTTTATACTCATCTCTGTTCTCTTTATCTCCCAATCTATTATCTACAGTTATTTTTTATCACTCCGGAAGACTCAAATTGACATGATTATACTGTAAGTAATGAGGACCAACCTTGCCATTGTCATACCAAGGGTACCAATTGGTGATAGTGGGAAGTTTCAATGCGTCAATAGAATATCGCGTGGCAGTTACTGGAACCACGGAGTCAGTGTCTCCACTTCGATAAGGAATCAACCCAGTTATAAATTGAACCAAAATTATGAAAATACTATATTTCAGTTTCAAACAGCAAATATATATTGGTAACAACACAAATAATCTGTCGGCCAAAAAAAAAAAACACAAATAATCTGCATTTTTCACATAAAAGAGCAATGTCGGAGACTACGGCACTGCCCTAAAATTCTTGATAAACCAAAATGGATAATATTACAGGAATAATGTACAAATAAAATAAAGGCAATGACCCTGAATGGGATAATGATTGGTAACACTTGGAAAGATGGTCCAGAAATAAAGATATTTCACTTCATCCAAAAAATAAGACAAGATGACAATTATAAGATATAAGATGTGCAGTTGTAAAACAAGACAAATTGTTGAATGGTCAGAACTTGAGAAAAGGGATTCAAAGAGGCCAAGTGTTTATTGCAAGTCAATAACCAGTGAAGGCGTAGCTGGAAACGATATTGACAGAAAACCTAGACTGAAGTAACTGAAACATTTTTGTTTTTGACGAATTCAAAGTAAATGATCTTCAGAATCACATATCATTGGCCTCAAGAAAAGAAAACATCACATATATAAATTTTTCATTAAAAAAAGAACACCAACATCAGGACAAACCTAACTAGTTTTTATCAGAAAGCTATGTAATAGACAGATGCTCATGAAGGATTAGAATAATTTCACTGCATCTGGTTAGGTGGAATTCATAGATCATGTCATTCATATATTCTCAATCAAGCTTGAAGGTGTAGACAAGATCAGTAAGATCCTAGATTGATGAAACATAGAAGATTGAGCAGACAAGTTCTACTTGGCAATCAACTTTTAGAATTGTTCTATATCTACCTTGTGTCATTTAGTTTTCTATCCCGGAACCCAAAGACTGGTCTGAATAAAAAGGTATGCAACAAAAAATGTTGCCCAATAAGCTAAATTAAATGTTGAACATTGCAAGCCTAAACATATTCAGAATGTTCTGATAATATTGAAACAGCTAATCAGCTAAGTCTCCTAAGCACAATATAGGAGAGCTTTGTGTGGAGAAGGCGGACCAATTAAGGTCCACCTGAATCTCACTATGCTTGATCCGAGAGAAATAATTATGAGACTAGGGGCTGTGTTGGACAAATTCCACATTTTAGTCTGCAAACTTGCAGATGCTACTAATGCATTTATAAACTCCAGTAAGGACTTTATAGGCTTAGGCAGGTCAATTGTAGCTTTAGGCAAATGCAACCTCATAACCACCTATGGACATTGATTTAGCGTGCCCTGAGTCCATAGGAATACAAAGAAACTAGGCATATGGTCCATAGAACCCTGCAGGATTATTTCCATTCATCCCATTTTTATTCTTTCTATCTTCGGAGGGAGTTCGATGGAACACAAGCTAAAGTCCTCTGGAACAGTAAGCTTAGACCAGCTCTGTCAGATATTTTAACAATGTTTTTTATTTTTATTTTTATTTTTTTTTTGTCTATAAACTAGAATGATTTCCTACTAAAGTTAGGCAATTCCAAAACCCATTATTAGCAGTAGCACTAGAGTTACAGAATTGACAAAACACGGGTAAGCTTACCTGTATACCCAAATCTTTAGACCAGCACCAATGAGTTCTTGATATATTGGAAGCATGGATAGTGGAGAATCCGCCCAGTTGTCTCCAACAATGCCACTGTTAAAAAAAAAAAAATCTAAAGTCAAAATTCCAATAGAATTGATCTCTTGGGATATCTCAAATCTTACATTAGTTTGTATTAGTAAACCTGCATGTTTTCCATGAATATGGGATGTTAGTTACATTGGCATGGAGTGCCTTCTGAACCTCAGGATGATTGAAGTACGAGGCTGAATACCTCTCAGTACAAGGGTCATAAGCTCGAGACATCCATGGCTGGGTTCAGAAGTCAATGGCAAGCATTAAGAAAAGATAAATAAATCGTTTGAATAGTCAATGCCATATCTTTACATTACAAATAATTTGAATGTTAAAGGATAGATCAAATCAGTTGCATTAAAATTACATGACTAGGTGGAACATTTCCGAACTTGCTTCCTGCAAAAGATATCTGTTCTAAAAATATTACTTCGTTGTTCATTCTGTTCCTTTATTTCCCTTTGTTAGGGCTGATTTTGTCTAAGTGAGGGCATGTTCTGGAATTATGATATATTATCTTCAGAATCACAAGTGAAGTTTATAGATAAACGGAGAGATTTATGGTAGGAGAATGGCATCACAGGAATAAACAAAATTTGAAGACTGGATAATTAGAACCAAGGAGAACGACTTTAAAATCCCAAGTCCATATGTCTCTACAGTTAAAAAGAATTGAAGAATGCTTGCTTGGATTTAGGATTGAAAACCTATACATTGCAACATTTAGGAAATACAACATATGTAGCACGTTTTCTGTTGGGTCTCTCAGGTGTAGAGCCCCACCATAGACCATCCTCACCTTTAATACTCCTGCAAACTGAAGATTCTAATAGAAATCCCAAATTTCCATAACATTCCCCACTAGTTTTAGTTCCAAGAGCTTCCACCACAGGCAGAAAGTCAAAAACCTTCTGACTACCAAAAAAATACTCTGGAGGAAGTTTCATTTAGAGAGTTTCATTTGTAGAAACTTCTTGATTGCAAAAACAAAAGTAAGAAGCTATTTTCCTGCTTGTAAGATAGGACATCTCTGATTCCCCCTCTACAAGTTCAACAGCATGTAAGGGTTTACAAGTAGACATATCCTGCGTTTTCAAGAAAACTGAATGAGTTGATAGAAGAGCTTACATAGCGACCACCCAAGCTGTGCTTGAGTGAAGCAGTATCATTGCATGGCCGCGTATAAATGCTATATGGGTCAATGTTTCCCTGCTCTAAAACTGCATCTCTTAGAGCCTCCTTGCACTGCATTGATGGATGTTGGGAGGATCCAAAGTTACAGGCCATTTGCAGCATCTTATATGAGGAATCTGAAATCAAACCATGGGTCCACCAGTACTCAAACGTGCCAACATAATCATTGTAATCATCAGTAACAGCGTTTCCAACCTTAAATAGGTAAAAATTGAAACTCATCAGATGATTATTAAACAAAATAGCGGCCTCTCCATAAATACAAGATAACATAAAATTATCACTGTTTTCATGTATCTCACAATCTTACCATAAATCCCTTTAAATTTATAGTTGGCTTCTGGACTCCCTTGTTTTTTTGGTAAACAAGTTGGGCCAACTGAGGGACATAGTGACCTGACAGAATTGTAAAAACAAAATATTTGATAATTAATTCTACGAAAAAAATCATTTGGAGGGAAAAAAAACTGATATATGAATTGAAGAAGGACCTGCATAACTTTCTCCAGCAATGTAAAAATCTCTATACTTGTATTGAGGAAATCTTTCAAACCAGTTAACAAGAAATGTATAAGCATCTTCAGCTGCAAAGTCAAAAGAGCCAGATTACAAATCTCACAATATATGTCAAATAATACCTAGGACTGACCAAAACAGGAAAAACACGCACGAATTATTCACCCTCCATAAGCGTCACTCTTACAAATGTTACAACAAAACTACCTGTTCTCTGGTCACCCGCCGTGTACAGATCTGATGTTTCATTGGAATATGAAAAACCCACACCAGCAGGAGACTCAAGGAAAAGTATATTTGCCACTGCAATGCCCAAACATACAAGCACTAATTATATATTGCAGGGAGAAGCTCAGCACTGGGCAAGGATTTCAAAAGAGTACATCCACATCTTATTTCAATCAGAAAAACTTAAAGCCAACAGTAAAGAGTGCGGGAATTTACACTTACAATTGTTCCAAGCATAAGGATTCAAGTAAAGTGACTTCCCATCAGAACTAATTCGAAAAGGGCCAATCTCTTCAGTCGCACCATAAGCAATGGATGAGCATCCAGGACCACCATTAAGCCATAAAACAAGTGGCCTGGACTCGGGTCCACGACTTGCAGGCGACTCGATCAACCAATAAAATAATGCTCTCCCTGCTTGCTCATTCACAGTCACATAACCAGAGTACTGAGCAAATCCTACATTTTTTGGCTGTCCTGGTAAATGGGTTATCTTATCTCTCTCTTGTTCTTCGATAGGGGGTAGAGAGATGGCTAAACAAAGTTTAATGAAAATTGATAAAAGTAAGAGAACAAATAATAGAGAATAACCCATGAATCTATGAGAAAAAGCCCAGAAAGAGTAACCAAAAATTTCGGGGTTTTCTAGCCTTTCGGCTGCTTGCTTGGAAAATCTTGAAGAAAACCAGGTAGAAATAGAAAATAAGGGGAGATGAGTAATTCACATGGGAATTCGCGGGAAATGCTTCCAAGAAACGTAAATGCCAAAACAGTCTCAGGTTTCCCCGACTGGATCTTAATTTTAGTGCCAGAGATTCAAAGCAAATGGCAGATCAACCAAACTATGTGCATTTACCAAAATGATAAGACGGGTGTGGAAGCAAAGACACAGAGACAGATGTGGAAGCAGAGACAGAGAGTGACAGAGACGTGCATTAAAATGTTCGTATTTAATACCCAATCCTGATGATCGTGAAAAGATAAAATGAGTAGCAAGTGGTAACCATTCAACGCCATGCATTTTCTCGTCAACTATGATCTAATCTTTGAAATGTGTCTTCGAAATTCTGAAGGGCAAGGGCATGGGTGCTGGCAGCACATGGGGCGAGTCCTCGCGGTCAATCTTTATGGCTAACGTAGTCAATTGTGACAGTGTTTTTTGGTCATCATGGACTATCACAATGTTACATATTACAGTGCACTTCCGCCAACCTCATCCTCAATATCATTATAATAAAAATATAAAAAATAAAAATAAGTAAAATTTTAAATATAATCTTCAAACAAAAAATGAGAAATCACATAATATTATTTTTTTGTCTCCCTTTCTCTTATTTTTTAAAAATAGTTTAAAAATTTTAATTTAAAACAAAACAATCATATCAGTTAATAATTTATAAAGTAGATCAAATTGTACTTTTAAAAAACACCTAATATACAAGAACGGAGGTTGTTTGAAGAAATGATGACAAATATTTGCTGAATTTTGTATTCAAAATTTAATAAAAATTTATTTATAAATAAATAAAATTAACAATTGATGAACAAATATCAACTAAACCACATGAAGGTGGTTTTTTTTTTTTTTTTCAAGTTGTTCATATTATGCTCTTCTAGACAATATTATCATCTGCCACACCCACTTGATCGCATACATGGTTTTTATATAAATGATGTGAGCACCTTGTAATGGGTCCATTAATAAACAATGTGTGTGCTAAGTGAGTCATATTAATAATAACTATTGCTTGAAATAATGAAAAGACTTCTCATCAAATCAGTCGACACACTAATTTAAGGGTAAGTTATCTATTTAAAAGTAACACAATCATCGTTATTAAAATATATAAAAATATTAATATATAATTCTGAAAAGAATAATATTAAATAAAAAATCACAAGTAAATAAAATATTAATATATAAACCACACGTAATCCAATAAAGCAGGTTTGTCAAAGCACAAAGATAAAGAACTGCTGGTATTATTTTTTTTCAACTTAAAACGACATTGCTTGATCCAATCTGGTCAAGATCAACCCTTCTAAAACCCTTTGTCAGATTTTTTTTTTTTTTTTTACATCAAGCCTGCTAGAGAATTGTCTGCTTTAGTAAAATAATTTAAGCAAATTGGTGATGCATATTCCGACTTTATATATTACTGGGGCTTCTTTCTCTAATATTTCACTTATTCCCTCTATATCTTTCTTTTTTTTTTAATTTCGTATTTTTAGCTTTTCATCTTTCATTTTTTTTCCTCCTGCCATTGCCTTATTTTCTTCATTTCTGTTTTCATATCATTATTTTGTCTCATTTTGAACGACTCTTGATTCTATATCAAGTTTTTATATAAGTGTGTTTGAGGATAATCTATTTCATCAAATCTATCTAAAGTCATTACTCATATTTCTAATTTTGTATATTTTAAATATATTTTTTAATTATTAGATGTGATTTCTTTCTTCAATACTCTTGACTATACCGATCCACCAGTTGACTAGTGTGGCCATCAAACTTGAGTTGGGTCTTAAGCCCAAAAAAAAAAAAAACTTGAGTGGGGTCATGGTGAATGAGAGTTGGAGAATGTGCGCATGAGAATGTGCCGGAAGAGGAATCGCCATGTCAGCCCTAAGATTAAACCCCACGCGACGCGAGTGCGTGGCTTGATATTTGACTGATTGAGGGAAACCAGCGCTTCCTCCGCCGCCTGAGGGAGCCGATGCGTTGGAGGGTCCTTCACTTCAAACGCGCCCCCACGTGCTTTTAATGACGTCATCTCTCTCGCTGCTTAGCATTTTTACCTTTTTTTTAACTCTGTCTCGCTATTGTCTGTTTGCTACTGGAAGCAGTCAATTAGGGACTTTATTAATATTAATATATATTGGTGAAGATAATGAATAAATGTTACTTCGTCTCTAATTATAAATTATTTTGTTACCGTAAAATATAAAACAATTTTTAAAAAAAATATTATATTAAGTTTATTTTTTGATGATAATTAATAAATATTACTTCATCTCCAATTATAACATAATTTTTGAGTTGTTTTGTTATCATAAAATATAAAATAATTGATAAAAATAGTATTACATTAATTATATTTTGTTTATATTACTCTTCAAGCAAAGATAGTTGAAATTATCATAGAGTAGTAATTATATGTGTAGATTTAAATAGTTATTATTGAACTTTATTAATATACGTAATTTTATCTTAAATTATTTTATAATTTGAAATAGAAGGAATACAATAGTTATCTTTTATTGTTTACTTAATATAATTTCAATTCAAAATAAACTATTGGATTTATTTACATGCTTATATAGTATTTTTTATAATGTATGAATAGTGTTTTATCCATTATGCTTTTGTTGTCTAGATTTTACGTATGGTGCTTAAACATTGAAAATATCTCGTTTTCACTAATTGAGATTTAAGATCATTCAATTTCAATCTATACTACCCATGTACAATAACAGCACTTATAGAATTCACTCGCCAAAGTTATATTTGACTCAAAGATAGTTATAATTAATATGAAACTATGAAATGAATAAAATTAGATGATATAACTAACTTTTTTTTGGCCGAAACGATATAACTAACTAGGGTTATAACTAATGAGGAGAACTGATTTCTTATAATACAGCGAGCTAATATTTGAATTATCATTAGAATAATTGTCTTTATTTAATACTTAATCATGCTTCAAACATGATTAATTTCAATAGAAAGACAAATGTAAGTGATAAAATTCATTGATTTTAGGGATGAAAATGAATTCAACATGCTCCATTTATTTATTAAAATTAGGTATTAGCTTGGTACGCAGAAACTAAGAAAGTAAGGAAAGGAAAAAATCCATTGATTTTAGGAATGAAAATGAATTCAGCATGCTCCATTTATTTATTAAAATTAGGTATTAGCTTGGTACGCAGAAACTAAAATTACTGGAAGCAGGTGATTATTGCTCTGATTGGTTCATTAAAAAAGTAATGTCTTGTTAAAAAATATGTGTACATACAAGCTAGAATATTTTGTGAGAAAAGACCAAATTGCCCTTAAGATATGTTTTTCAAGAAAATGATGGAAGGGGTTGAAGACATAGGCCATTATTTTATATATTTACATATAGGCTTCGATGGCTCATTAAAAATAAGGCATTTCTCTTCATAAGTTATAATTTAATTTCTTACCAATTGGATTAACATTTAGTAATTGAGATCTATCATTCTTTAGCTAATTGTTCAAGAGTAAAAATAGCTTTTAAAACTTTTGGTGCCAACAACATTGTAAGAAATCAACCTTGTTTGATATTGAGGTAAAAGGGTAAAAAACTCAATTTTATCTTTAAACCTAATCAACAAAAAAAAAGATTTTGTATTTAATTAAATAATATTTTTGTTGAAAATTATAGATTTAATTTTCTGTAGACAAATGAATCTTGTTCTTCGAGATTGAACTAGCTGCGAAAATTTTGGAAATTCTAAAGTATAAAGCCAAGTAATTGTAACATTTTAAAAATCCGTTCCTTAAAAACGTTAGTATATATAATTAAAAGATCATCAAATATTAAATAATATTTATGGAAATGAGAGAAATCAAAATAGTTAAATTTAACCAAGATAAAACTTATTTACTTAACCTTATATATTTAATATACCTATGTCCAATCAAATCATGATTAGTAGATGTTAATGTGTTAATAAAATTAATAACAAGAATTAATTGTAAAATAAATAATTTATAAAAAATTCACACATCTTAATTTAATTAAAAATAAGTATGTTAAGTATATATAACTAAATATATAAATTTTTTTCATAATATATAAATGATCCACATATCTTCACTTAAAAGGTTCACGTGTTGTAATTTAATTGAAAAATATTTGTTGTTAAAACTTAAGACAAAACAGAAAGAAAATAAGCGTGCTTTCACACAGTGACGAAATCAGAACCTCATATTAGAGGGTGTGGTATACTTTTAAAATTTAAAACTCAAAAATAATAATTTTAAATTGAAATTGCATATTTTTTAATTATTTTCTAATTGATTTTTTTCATGTAATAAATATATAATGATTTCATTGTCGATGTTGTTAAAAGTGTTCCTTTAAATATAACTACACTAAACTACAATTTTAATAGTGCCACCACTTTTCATGATGTTTGGAGAAAAATAAAGGATTTTTTTTTTTACCATTGCAATAATAATATGTAAAATCATTGTTAATTTTAGGGAAAAAAAACTTGTAGATAAATATATTTTTTAGATTAAACATTGTTACGTATAAAATTGATTATCAAGTATTATTGAATTAGTCAAAATGTTCATTAAAAATGATCTAAATTTATAGAGAGTGCAAAATCTTAAAACTAGAGAGATCAAAACATCAAAAATTATAAAATTTTTCATGTAATTTCCCCCAAAATAAGGGATGTTTGTGTGCCCCTTGACAAATTAATTAATTTTTAAGCACTGTATGAGTACGCAAAATTTTTAACAAATTAACATTTCTAAACAATACTAACTCCTAATAGTTGATTTTATTTTGCTGTTTTGTGGATAAAGAGGACAGGAAGAAATCAATAAAAAGTATATCACTGACAAAATAAATTGTGAACAAAATAACATTACTTGTATCTTATAATTTATTTTGGTGTGGTTGTATTAACTTCCACCAATAATACAAATTCACCTCCTGAGATACAGGGTAAAAATTGGTAAATTTTTTTCACAAATTATTTTTAAGCCCTCCCCTCATATACTTTTAGGGTGTGTTGTTTCAAGAGAAAGGGAAGGGAGATAATAATTAAATTATCATTATATCTTTATGCAATTTTTTTTAATTTTTTTAACCTTTTGTCATACACAAAAATTTTATATGTATAATTATTTATAAAAAACATCTTATCAATTTGTTAACTTTTTCTTACTTCTTATGCTTAGATAGGTGACACTTTCGTCAACAATTATATAAAAAT